CACACACACACACACACACACACACACACACACACACACACACACAAAGCCAATGGGGATGGAGACAGCAAGGCCGCATTGTTGCCTTAACGGGGCGTTTGTAAGGCATGGAGGAGGGGAGGAGTGGTCGAGGAGTGTTGAGGTCTAGGAGTGCTCCTTCACAAAGGCTACCCTGGGGTGTTGGGTGGGGGGGGGGTGGACGGAGGACGATGAGGAGGACGGAGGAGTCAAACATACTGTGATACAGCAGCTCTGGGAATACTTTTGATCCAGCTCCAGTGCTCACATTGCATATTCTTAGTGGTCCCTTGTGGATTTGAATGTGCTGATTAGGATGTTAGTGATGGAAAAACTGTGAAGCGTGAATGCTGGTACATGGGTTTTTTTTTTCTTCTAAAGGTGGACATCTGGGGAGAGGTAATTTTGCTGAGTAAATGAAAGGTGGTACTCAGCTTCATTGTGGCATTAAGGGTTTGGAATCTCACCCAGGGAAGTTGGTGAACTTCCCTCCTCCATCTACATTTTGTGTGCTGAGGAACTCTCAGACTTTCCTTGGGCTTGGTGTTTGCTGTGGTGGTGATGCTACGCTACCATGAGGTGCGCTGCCTTGTGCATTTCAAAAAACACTCAGACCTCCTTTAGTTTCATTTTCTCCACTGAGGAAACTAGAGATGGCATCCAGAGCAGCCTTTTGCTGTGTCGTTCTTTTCTTTCTCTCCCCTCCCCACCTCTCTGACCATTTTATTAGAATAGAATAGAAACAGCCTTTATTGTCCCACGCAGGGAAATTCAGGATTATCCTCTCATGTCAAAGACTGGATACACTTTAAAAATGCTAAACCTCTCTGTCTTCAAAATTGACAGAAGGAAATTAAAAAGCTGTGAGCAATAGATTAAATTAGCAGTTAAAAGAGAGACTGCTAATTAGTTGATTAATGATTCTGGTTCCTCCCTCAGTTGGCTGAACGGTTGTATATGAGATTCTGTGAAGTGACACGGCTTTCTTCTCTGATCAAAAATGTTTACTTTTTCAAAGCACTTTATTTCTTTAATGTTATGCAGTGCAATTGGAAATTCTTGCTCAACGGCCGTTGTCATCTAGAATGGCATCAGCAGCCTAATCTAGCAGGACCAGGGGGCTAATCCTGTCACACAAAAGACGGTGATAAAAGTAGGAGGGGTGTGCTCTATTTAAAGCGAAGCACTGCAAAACATAATTAATTAGAAGGTGACCTTGAAATTCACTGCTTCTAGCACTGCTTTCAGAGCCAGTCCCACCATTCAGTTGTGAGCTTGGAGAGGCGGTTTCACATAACTGGGTGATTTCTCAACGTGCAAATACACCGTTGCTCTGAGTTGGGAGATTAACTTTAATCCCGCTCTATTATCGGGCTTAACTTCTTTCTGCAAAATTCTGACATGTTAAATCTGATGTCACAACTGAAATGAACACGTACATGCTAAGCGTTTTTCATTTTACTCACTGCAGATAAGATGCCTGGTGAAATTTGTATTTATATATTTTTTTTTTCAATGAACTCCTGTAACACAAAAAAATAAACAAAAAAATACTTGTGTATTTTATTTTTCTAAGAATATAAGTTGTACTTTTCAGTTACAAAAGATCTTTTATCTGCCTTTCCTGTAAACTTTTCACTTACTCAGCTGTACAGTCCTCCCTCTCAGTTTCTCTTCCTCTGATGTCCATTCTCAGTGCCCACACAATGAACACGTTTACTGAATAACTAATGTAGTCACCAGCTGTAAGACTGGTTCTTCAGGCTCCGAAGACAAGATATCTGACAGCCTGTGTTTTTCCCATTTTATTATATAATCGAATCAGAGAATGCTGTTCACTCACTGCTTTATTGAAAATGATGGACTTTTTTGAATCTGTACGTGAAAATGGTATCCTTCTATCTTCAAAGAATGTTCCCTTTTTTCATTCAATAGAGCTAAAATGTTGGCTAGATTTTTAAATGTCTTTTATTCAGAACACTGTAACACAGGCACTTATGTTGAGTGTGTCCCTTCAGTAAAACATACAAGCCCTCATTTAGAGAGCGCTTATGAAGGATGCAGTGAAAACCAAAATCTGTAAAGTTTTCCTTGAAAAAAAAAAATCTATTGGACCACTTTACAGTTAATTATTTTTAAAGAAAACGTTGGAAAATGATGATGTCTTTTGGTATCAGTGGAAAGAATAGCTGTGGTTGTTTCCACTAAAATAACAGTTTGGAGAGCTCTTGGTGATAGGATTATTTAATCTCGTTTTTGTCATCACGGCAGCCTTGTGTGGATTTGGTTACCCATCCGTCACTCTCTCCTACTCAGGTTTCCTAAGAAATTCAAATTTCTAAAGGTGTTACTGCTGTGAAATGTAGACAACAGGCAGATGGAAACTTAAAAAAAAACTAGAATACTTTTATATCCTCAAGCGTTTTGATTTGCAGCATGGAAGGAAACTGGATTTGCTGTATACCTGACCGGGTTGTATGCGCTTTGATGAGAGGACTTAGTAAGTGGGCCCTGGAAAGCCGACAGGCCAGTGAGGAGTTGTCTGCAGACGGAAATTTCTCTTTAATGCCAGACTGGGCACAGTCTACTCTGTGGATGTCTAGAAAAAAGCAGCTTGGCAGACTTTGTCCTCTCATTAATTTTGACCAAATATTTACTGTGCATCACATGGAACGCCTTACATCCCTTTTTAATTTTTCCAGGCCAGGTTTTGAATAGTTCGGGGGCAATTTGTGTTCCATTTGCTTGGACTCAGGCCATACCCTCTCAGCAGGACTATAGCCATTTTTCCACATGGCTCCGTAGAGTCTTAACCTATGGTATAGGAGCCAAGATTCTCCTTAATAATACTTACACAGCT